AACCCACTCATTGTTTAATAACATACTATTTAGCCTCCATTTTTTTTTTTTGAAATTTCTTGAGGGTTTTTAAAATTGTAGTTGATTTCTAGTTTCATGCCACTGTGAGCCAAGAAGATGCTTAATAAGATTTCAACCTTCTTGAATTTATTAAGATTTATTTTGTGTCAACCATTTGGCCTATCTTTGAGAATGTTCATTATAAATTAAAGGATAATGTATATTCTGTTGCTTTGGGATGAAATGTTCTGTAAATTTCAATTAAATCCATCTGACCTAGTGTGTGTGTGTGTGTGTGTGTGTGTGTGTGTGCGCACACACACACACACATGTGCCTATATCTTTACCAGGGCTATAGCTGCTATAGTATTATATAGTGGCCTTATTTGTCTTGTTTATGGCCTTTGTTTTGAAGTCTATTTTGTTAGATATAAGTATTGTTACCTCACTTTTTTGTTTCCATTTGCATGGAATATTTCTGTTGTTGTTAATCTTCAGCTGAGGATATTTTTTTCCATTGACTTTTAGAGAGAGTCCAAGGGGGGGGGGGGGAGAGAGAAAGAGAAAGAGAGAGAGAGAGAGAGAAACTTCAATGTGAAAGAGATACATTGATTGGTTGCCTCCTGCACACTCCCCAATTGGGATTGAACCTGCAGCCCATGTACATGCCCTTGACTGGGAATCAAACCCATGCCCATTACTGCATGGGCTGACACTCAAACCACTGGTTTGCACTGACTAGAGCATGCATGGAATTTTTTTTCTATCCCTTCACTTCCAGTCTGTGTGTCCCTTGTTCTGAGGTGGGTCTCTTGTAGACAACATACATATGGATCACATTATCTTATCCATTCAGCTACCCTATTTTTTTTTTTTATTAGAGCATTTAATCCATTTACTTTTAAGGTTATTATTTACTAGAGGCCTGCTGGATGAAATTCGTGCACAAGGATGGGCGGGGGAGGGGAAGGGTGGCCCGTACCCTCTCCAATATGGGACCCCTCAGGGTATAATGGGTAGTCGGACATCCTTCTCACATTGGCCCGTACCCTCTCCAATATGGGACCCCTCAGGGTATAATGGGTAGTCGGACATCCTTCTCACATTCCAGAACTGCTGGCTCCTAACCACTTGCCTGCCTGCCTGCCTTCCTGCCCCTATGTGCTTCTGCCTCCCAGCCTGATTGTCCCTAATTGCTCGCCTGCTGGCTTGATTGCCCCTAACCATTTCTGGCTTGGCCCCGCATCCGGGACCCAGGATTCCCTCCTCCAGCTGACCACAGGCACCCAGGATCCGGGCCTCCTTCCCTCTGGTCAGCCATAGGCACCCAGGCCGGCTGCAGCCTCAGGGGATGGTGGACAGGTGGCTTCGCCTGGGCTGCAGCCGCAGGTGCTGGTGCTCGGGACCACGGGTGGGTGGCTTCTCCATCTACCAGGCCACAGCCACCCACAGGTGTTGGCACCCTGGACCGCTGGGTGGGTGGCTTCTCCATTTCCTGGGCCACAGCCAACTGCGGGTGCTTGTGCCTGGGACTGTGGGGTGAACGGCTTCTCCATCTACCAGGCGGTAGCCAGCCTCAGGTGCTTCTCTGCCTTCCCTGGGATGCAGTGTGGGCGACTTCTCTGGCTGGCTGCGGTCTGGATCATGGGGCAGGTGGCTTCTTTGTCTCCTGGGCCTCAGGCACTGGGGCCTGGTTTCTCTGTCTCCCCCAGGACGTGGGGCAGGCAGACATGAGGCTTCTGCTGCTGGCTGCAGCCTGAGATCACTGGGCAGGCGGCTTCTTGGTCACACTGGGCCCTTGTGCTGGACTTCTCTGACTCCCACAGGCTCAGAGCAGCTGTAGGGCGGGCCGCTGCCATCTTTTCAGGTTAATTTGCATATCCACACTTGATTGTCTGGTGATCATTGCAGAGGTACTGTCAATTTGCATCTTTCTCTTTTATTAGTGTAGATTGGTATTTATTTATTGCAGTTGTTTTTCTTTATGCCTGTGCTTCTCTCTCTCTCTCTCTCTCTCTCTCTCTCTCTCGTTCTCTCTCTCTCTCTCTCTCTCTCTCTCTCTCTCTCTCTCTATATATATATATATATATATATATATATATATATATATATATTTCTCTCTCTCTCTCCTTCTCCCTCTCCCTCTCTATTCCTCTCCCTCTCTCTCTCTCTCTTCTTACAGCATCCCCTTTAGCGTTTTTTGCAAGCCTGGTTTGGTGGTAATGAATTTCTTTAACTTTTGCTGTTGTTGTTGTTATCTGGGAGCACTTTATTTCACTTTCAATTTTAAATGCAACCTCAGAGCCTATCACTGGCCTGCCTGGCTCCCAGACAGAAGCTTCCCTTGGAGGCGTGGTCTTTAGGTGCCAGCTCTGCGGTCTCCCTGGCACCTCCGTGCGTGGAACCAGGAAAGCAGGGGAAGAAAGTCATTCCTGAGCAGCACTTTGATTTCTCCACGTTCCTCACCACATTTCCAGCCCTGCTCTGGGCCCCTGAGCAGCGGACAAAGCAGGACGGGCTAACCGAGTAGTTCAGCAGGTGGGGAGTGATGCTGCCTGGCACTCAGCGTGGGCGAGACCCACCTCCTTCCCACGCCCATAGTTAGCCCCTGCCTGCCTCTTTGCCCACAGTCCTTCCAGAGAACAGAGAGCCCCTCAAGTCACTGCTGCGTGCACTTCAGACCCTCCACCAGATGGCGTGGCAGACTGCAGAACTTTCCAGGCTGCGGAGGGAACAGTAGGAGCGCTCCTTCCCTGGGCTGGTGCTGCCCGAGTCTCCCAGGGGGACAGGATGCCCGCTGATTCCTGTGCCCGAGGCTAAATGGGTCCCCTTCCTGTCTCTGTTGCTGGGCATTGGGGATCCTTGTGCTGGGCTGAGACCTCATGCTCCCCGGAAGAGGTCCTCCCTTACCCCCACTTCCTGGCTACCAGCTGTAGGAGGAGGCCCACTCCAGCTGCTCTGCGGCCACCACTGCATCTCCTCCAGCGTAGACTTTCATGCCAGCGCTGACTAACACGCACGGCCACCTGGAAGCACTGTGCTCAGAGGATCCTGAGGCAGAGTCCAGGCTCAGAGGAACGTGCTGTGATCAGTGAGCACCTGCCAGCCCTGCAGGAGGGAAGCGGGAACTGGGTCTTCTTTGCTGCAGGCCAGCTGAGGAACCTGTGCTGACCACATCCATCTTTGCTCCTGTCCATACTCCACATCTCACAGGCAGTGTCTTTCTGTACACGTGCATTTTGTTTTGTTCTCCCTGAGATTTTAGAAATATTGCCTCTTAAGTCCAAGCCTCTTGTGGGTTTGCTTGGGGCCAGAGGTGAGGTTGCAGCTTCTCCATTTGACTTCCTTATTTGTGTTGAAGACACATCCCAATCGAATCTGAGTCTGAAGTTGATCACTAGGAAGTTGTTTGGATTGGGTACACCTTCTGTGGATTTCTTTATCACTGACTCTCAGCTGCCGTCCCAGCTTAGGCTGCGGCAGCCACGTGGGCCCGATGGCCAGCTCCTCCTGATGGGCTCCTGCAGCACCTGGTGTCTCCACAGCGAGGTTCCACCTCTTCCGGTTCCAAAGCCATGCTCCCTCTGAGCTGGCGTGAGCTCTCCGTTTCCAACTCCATGTCTTTATAAAAGCTCATTTACAAAGCAGAGGGCACCCTGCTCCGAACGCAGTGACTGGCGGCTCAAGGACCTCGGGCCGCCCTGGGCCCTCTCACCGAGGGCTCCCGAGCCTCACCCGCGGTGAGCGTGGTCTCCTCAGTGTGACCATTCACCACAGGAGACCCCTGGCTGTACAGTCAGGGTTCCCAGAACAGAGCCTTCCGAAGGGAGGCAGCCTCGGCGTCCCGAGAGCTGGGAGAGGGCAGAGACGCAGAGGATGAGAGGAAGGCAGCAGCATCGAAGATGAGAAAGTAGAGGCTCAAAGAAGTGGTCAGGCTCAGCTGGGCACCAGCCAGCTGCAGGCAGCCCCGCGGGCTGGGCTCGGGCGGAGCTAGTGGGTGGCCTTGTGGTGACACAGTCTGTTTCCAGATGCCCTGCCTGGGCCCGCACTCAGGCCTGCGGTGGTGGCGGGCAGGTCCTGGGCCTCCTGGCAGTGGCGTGGCCTCGACTGGCTGTGATCAGCCCGTTTAAGCGGAAAGTGCTCTGGAAGCTCAGAGAGCGAATTCCTCCCTCCCTCGCGTCCTTCTTTGGGGACTGGAGGGTGGAGAAGGCCCTGGAGGAAGTGGCGTGTGGGAGGGCCCCAGAATGAGGGGGTTTCTCTCCTGGCCTCCCGCCCTCAGTCTTCCTCTGTCCTGGGCGCCGCCTCCATTGGCAGCACAGGCTGGCTGTGGTGAGGAAGCAGCTGTTCCTCTTGTCCGAGGCCCGGGGGAGCGTGTTTCTGTGCGCACGTCCAGGCGTCCAGGCGACTGCTCTGCTCCCGGTCAGGCCTGCCCGCAGCTTTCCCCACAACTGCTCCCTCCGCAGGGAGCTCTCAGCAGCGCAGCTTACCCGCCCTCTGGGGCTCTGACCCCGGAGGCTGGGGCGGGTTGGGGGTTGAGGTGGGCGCTGGCCCCCCAGAGGCTGGGGCACTGACCCCCGGAGGCTGGGGAGCACACTGGCTCCAGGCCAGGCTTGTGGAGCCAAAAGAGATGGCTTTTAAGGGCTCTGTAGTCATCAATCTTGAGCAGCAGTCGTAGCAGCATCAGAGTGAGAAGGTGTGGCAGTGTCAGCTGGGGGCTCTCCAAAACCCGTGCTCCTTCACATCTGGGGGCTGACAGTGGCCAGCCCTGTGGGGCGGGCAGGGCAGCATCCTCATGCGGGGAGAGCCTCCTGGGGGCGGTGCGTCCTCATGGGGCATCTTCATGGGGGGCGTCCTCACCCAGCGGGTCGCAGCACCGCCCGGGCCTGTGACCGAGGGAGGGAGGGGAGCACGCTCTCCCTCACTGACCCAGACGCACGCCGGGGCCTGCGCGGCGGCTCTGCAGGACACAGGACTGACAGGCTGTCCTCTGCTCCCCGCAGCGCCGGACGGGCGAGTGTACCTGATGGGCGGGCTGCTGGCCGTCGTGGGCGCGGCTGCGCTGGTCCTGTGCGCGTCCAGGAGGTTTAGGATCGACATCGCGCTTTGGTATCGAAGTGCCTTCATCTCCACCAGCCCCTCAGCGGGTAAGTGCGGAGCCTGTGGGCCTGTCTCCAGGTGCCCCCGGTGGTGTGGCCGCTGGAGACTCTTGGTCATGCCTCTGTCCTCGGCACCTTCGGAGGCAGGCCTCTCCCGGACGTTCATGCTGAGGAACGCCGCCCAGTGCCAGCACTGTGTGCCACACCCGCCTGAGGCCGCAGCGGCCAGGGGGCAAATTCCCCAGGTCCTCAGCGGAGCCTTTAGGAGGGATCTCACAGCCACTGGTGGGAGCAAAGTGCCTTCACCCAGGAACCGCCCTCAGCACGGTGGGCGTGGGCGGGACGGGCGTGGGCGTGGGCGTGGGCGGGACGGGCATGGCGGGACGGATGTGGGCGGGACGGGCGTGTGGGCAGGACGGGCGTGTGGGCAGGACAGGCGTGGGCAGGACGGGCGTGGGCAGGACGGGCGTGGGCAGGGCGGGCGTGTGGGCAGGGTGGGCGTGGGCGGGATGGCTGTGGGCGGGATGAGTGTGGGCCCGATGGGTGTGGGTGGGACAGGTGCCAGGGACGCCCTGCTGCCTGTGGTGCAGGCCGGGTACTTGGTGCTGGAAAATCTAAGTCGCCCACGCTCCGGTGTGAGAAGGGACAGTGAGTGTGAATGGAGTTCTCCATCCACTCCCTGTGTGAGCCCGGGAAGTATTGGAAGTTTTCTCTTTCTTAGTTCCGGGATGAGGAAAAGGAGGGAAGGCGGGAGGGGGGGCAGGAAGGAGCGACTGGATTGAAGTCAGAAAGGCAGTGGGCATCCCCCGGGAGGCCAAGGCCCGCTGCCGGGCCACTTCCCTGGAGGTTTTGGTTGGGTGGCTGATCTGGGCCCCGTGGGTGCTATTCACCACAGGAACCCTCAGTGTGACTCTGAAACCGAGGAGCCAGCATCCCCACCAGTGTGGTTTTAACGGTGTTAACAGGGTGCAGCAAAAGTGAGTCTACAGCTGTGAGTACAGAAAACACAGCTTGTTCTTGTATTGACATTTATTAATGAGGCCCGGTACATGAAAGTTCATGCCCTGGAGGGGAGTCCCTCAGCCCAGCCTGGCCTTCTCCCAGTCCGAGAGCCCTCAGGGGTGAGAGGTGACCCTTAGCAGTGGGAGGTAACCTGGCAATCAGTGGAAGATGATGCCCCCTCACACCTCTGCTGCTACCACTGTGAGCAGCACAAGCCTCAGCTGGAGCTGGTTACCTGAGCCTCCAGCGGCCCTGGGTGGCTGGCGGGACCGGGGTATTTCAGAAGCAGGCATGCACCACAGCAGGGCCTGACCCCTTGCCACGTCTGCTGCCCAGGCAAGGTTGAGGCGACTGGGTGCTGCCATTTTTGAGGATGGGGCAGTCAATTGGTATATTCCCTTCTTATTGGCTGTGGGTGCTGCCATATTTGTGAGGGTGTGATGGTCAATTAGCATATTCCCTCTTTCTTAAATAGGATTGTATTATTTTCCTTACAAATAACTATAAACCTACTTTGCTGCACCCTGTATACTTGTCTCAGAATGGATGCGACCTATTCCAGCCTTGAGTAAAGTAATAAACCTGCTTCTGGTCTCCTGACTGGGTGGAAAGATTACTATAAGACTACAAGACCCTGTGCAGCTCATGTGCATGCAGAGACACGTTTTAAGTTTTTTCGGTCCAGACCCTCGCAGTGCTCACAAGAGAGGGCACAGAAAAGCAGGCGTGGACCGTGCCTTCCGAGTCCCTGCTCAGAGATGGCATCGTTTACGCTAAGTGCCTGCTCTGCATGGAGAATCACATGGCAGAGCTGCCCACATGCCCGGTGACATGTCCTAACTTGGACTTTATTTTACATGATATTTTAGAATTCAAACATGGCAGCCCTTGAGCAACAGAAGAGAAACTGCTGTTTTCATGATGACAGATTACACTGCAGAATCTTGCTGTGGCTCCTGGCCAGCGTGAGAGCCCCCTGTCCTTCCCAGTACCGCTGTGGGCAGTTCACTGCGAGGGTCCGGACTGGCGGCTCAGCCGTGTCCTCAGAACTCTATCACCCCCCTGACCGCCGCTCAGTGAGGCCCAGCTCAGCACGAGGCGAAGGCAGCAGCTGACCCCTGCCGGCTGAGCTGAACGGAGGAGCACTCCGAGCCCTACCCTGGAGCTGAGGGTGGGAGGTGGGAACCCAATCAGCCAGTGGTCCTCTTCCTCTTTTATTTAATCCGTAAAAGACCAGGGCACTTTGGGACTACGTTCTCCACAGCTCAGCTGTGCGTGCTCTCGGGAAGCCCCGTGGAGTGCTGGCCTGACAGCCAGCCGGTGGTGGCGAGGAGGCCGAGCTCCTGCGGCCTCCTTCTGGGAGGACAGCTGGTTGTCCGGGAGCCTGTGAAGCAATGGATGGCAAACACCACGCGGAGAGAGAAGCTGCCCTCCTTGCGGTCCAGAGTCCGTCCCAGGGACTAGTCAGGCTTTGTGCGTGACTCCTAGTTACTTGTGTCTGCGTCGCGGTGTTATGAGTGGGTTCTCTTCCGTAGGCCTGGCCACGCTCACGAGTTCTGTCTGCTCTCCACTCAGTCACAGGAGGCGCTTTGCACACCTCCTGCCAGGGGTGCCCGTGTACAAAGCACGCAGACCACTCACACACCATGGGGATGCGTATGTGTGGGAAAGTTCCCGTAATCAGAACAAGCAAAACCAGAACCCAAGTAGGTGCAATGAACACAGGGAAACAAAGGGAGAATGGTGAAATCAAGCCAGGCACTGTTCTGAGAAATCCTGGGCACGTTTTATTTATTTATTTATTTATTTATTTAAAATATATTTTATTGATTTTTTTTTTACAGAGAGGAAGGGAGAGTGATAGAGAGCTAGAAACATCGATGAGAGAGAAACATCCATCTTCTGCCTCCTGCACTTCCCCCACTGGGTATGTGCTCACAAACAAGGTACATGCCCCTGACTGGAATCAAACTTGGGACCCTTCAGTCCACAGGCTGATTCTCTATCCACTGAGCCACACCGGTCAGGGCTTGGGCAGGTTTTAAAGGTGAGCTTGTATTAGAAGCAAACATGATTATGTACTTCCTTGTGTGCTATTCACTGAAACTTTTCAGTGGCTCCTGAGAGCACATCGCCTTTTTGGGGACAATTTTGCAAGAAACATTGTTTTCTTTACTGTTTTTATTTTATTTTATTTCTTTACAGATGTCCCTATTCTCTCCCCCCCTCCCCCATTACTCCTGTCTACCATGTTCCTGTTTCATCCCAGGCTCCACCATCCTATTGTCTGTGTCCATAGGTAATGCATATATGCATATAAGATCTTTGGCTAATCTCTTCCCACAACCCCTTCTGCTTCCCTCTAAGATTCATCAGTTTGTTCCATGTTCCCATGCCTCTGATTCTATTTTTTAGATTTAATTATTGATAGATATGTACTTATTTCCATTTCATTGTTAATGATTTTTTTCTTCTCCTTTTTCTCCTCCTTCCCTTTCTCCTCCTCCTCCTGCTCTTCTTCCTCCTCCTCATCCTCCTCTTCTTCCTCCTCCTCCTCCACCTTCTTCTCCTTCTTTTTCTTTTTCTGTCTTCAATGCCTCTCAGCCCTAGCTGGTTTGGCTCAGTGGATACAGCATCAGCCTGCAGACTGAAAGGTCCTGGGTTTGATTCCAGTCAAAGGCACATGCCTGGGTTGCAGGCTCAACCCCCAGTAGGGGGTGTGCAGGAGGCATCTAATCAGTGATTCTCTGTCATCATTGATGTTCCTATCTCTCTTCCCCTCTTCCTTCCTCTCTGAAATCAATAAAAACAATCTCTCTATATAAAAAGCCAGTGACCAGAACACAGTAATGATGGGAATGACTGGTCACTATGATGCCCACTGTTGCCAGTGAACTTGCCCGTTTGGGGTTGGGGGTGTGGGGTGTGGCCAGATGGCCAACCTCCTGGGGCTCCTCCCCCAGGCCAGCCCCGCCCCTGATGGGCCCCTACCACCCCGATTGGCCCACAGCCCCTCTCCTGGCCAACTCCACCCCTGGTTGCCCCCCCACACTCCAATAGGGGGCAGGGCTGGCTAGCCAACCTTCTGCAGCCCCTGTCTGGCTGGCCCAACTCCTGATGGGTCCCCACCACCCCAATCAACCTACAGCTCCCCACCACAGCCGACCCAACAGAGTGTGGGGATGGCTGGGGAAGAGGCCTGCCAGACCCACCCCCACTGGGCTCTCATCATCCCAATTGACCCACCGCCCTTCCCCCCAGGCAGCCCTGCTCCTAATACCCCCCATCCCAATAGGGTTTGGGGCCAATTGGCCAACTGCCTGGGGCCCCTCCCCCCAGCTTGCCTCAGCCCTGATGGGCCCCTACCACCCCATTGGCCTTGTCCAAGCCAGCTTCACCCCCAATCAGCCCCCTCACTCCAATCAGGGGTAGGGGCAGCCGGCCAACCACCTATGTCTCCTTTCCCAGGCCTCTGGTACCCAATTGGCCCTGCCACCCCATTAGGGGGTAGGGCAGGGTGGCAGGCCCACCATCCACAGCCCCTCCCCATGGCCCTGATTGGCCAGCAGCCCCTCCCCCCAGCCAGCTCTGTCTCTGACCAGCCCTCTCCCCCACACCAATCAGGAGTGGGGCTGGCCAGCCAACCTCCCATGGCCCCTCCCCACAGTGGTCCCACCCCAAATCAGCCCCTCCACACCAATCGGGGGCAGAGCCCATAGCTAATCACCCATGGCCCCTCCCCACAGCCTACCTGGCCCTGATCAGGGTGGTCAGCCGGGCAACCTCCTGCCATCTCCTCCTCCCAATAGGCCAGGCCAATCCACCCCAGTTGGAGCCAGGCCTGCTAAACTCTACCCATGCATGAATTCATGCACTGGTGTGTGTGTGTGTGTGTGTGTGTGTGTGTGTGTGTGTGTGTGAATAAGGAATATCCCTCAACATTTCATGTAATACTGGTTTGGTGGTGATGAACTTCTTTAGTTTTCTCTTGTCTGTGAACCTCTTTATTTGACCTTCAATTTTAAATGATAGCTTTGCTAGGTAGAGTAATCTTGGTTGTAGGTTCTTGCTATTCCTCACTTAGAATATTTCTTGCCACTCCCTTCTGGCCTGCAGTTTCTATTGAGAAATCAGTTGATAGTCATATGAGTTCTCCCTTGCAGGTAACAAACTGCTTTTCTCTTACTGCTTTTAAGATTCTCTCTTTTTCTTTAACCCTTGGCATTTTAGTTATGATGTGTCTTGATGTCCTTTTTCGGTTTCCTCTTATTTGGGACTTTCTATGCTTCCTGGACTTGCAAGTCTATTTCATCAGTAGAGGGAGTTTTCTGTCATTATTACTTCAAATAGGTTTTCAATATCTTGCTCTCTTCTCTTTCTGACACCCCCATAATCAAATGTTAGCGCACTTGAAGTTGTCTCAGAGGCTCCTTACACTATCTTCATATTTTTGGATTTGTTTTCTGTTTGCTGTTCTGATTAGTTGTTTTTGTGTGTGTGTTTCCTCATATTCCAAATCATTGGTTTGATTCTCAGAATTCTGTACTCTACTGTTGAGTCCCTGTAGATTATTCTTTATTTTAGTTAGTGTATGCTTAATTTCTGACTGGTTCTTTTTCATGTTTGAAATTCTCACAAAGAATCTTGAAAGTTTCACTAAGTCCCTTGAAGCTCTCATGAATGTCCTTGAGTAACCTTATAGCCATGATTTTTAACTCTGTATATAGTAATTTGCTTGCTTTTACTTCATTTACTTATTTTCCTGAAGATTTATTCTGTTCTTTCATTTGTAACATGTCTATTTGTCTCCTCATTTTGTTTCCCTGTCTTTGTTTCTATGTATTGGGTAGAGCTGCTGTGTCTCCTGGAATTGGCAGAGTGGCCTTGTATAGTAGGTGTCCTGTAGGGCCCAGTGGCTCAGCCTCCCCAGGCAGCTGAGCTGAGCGCTCTAGGTGTGCTCATGTGTGATCTGTGAACACAGTCTTGACTTCTAGGCCAGTTGGCTGTGAGGGCTGCTGTGCAGAAGATACCCTTCTGGAGCAGGACTTGGTTCAGTGGGGATTTGGTGCTCACTGAGTCTTCTCCTTGAGTGTGTTGCTTATGGATGTGTACAGTTGTAATCTAGTGTGGTCTAAAGCTGCTCACTGGGTGCACTGGTTCTAGGACCTCCTGGGAAGCACAAATTCAGCCACTGCCTGGGGCCACCCATCAGGAGCTACAGAGAGTTCTGCAGATGGATGCTACTTGTATTGGGCTTGGAAGTGCCCAGGTGAGGTGAAGCAAGGCATGCTGGTGCTAGTGCCAAGTCTTGAGCCTTTTATTGATAGTCTGGAGCCTTTTATTAGGAAATGCTGATGCCACCTTCTGCTTGTTTGAGAAAATTTAGCCAAGTCTGAATCCTGAGCCAGGACAGGCCATTCATATGGAAAAGCCTCTGCGAACAGCTTGGGTGGGCCTGCAAGTTGGGCGAGGCAGGGTCTCAAGGAATCACCAGCGTGGGGCAAATAGTATGGACCACGCTGTTAGAAACTCTGCCAGTCAGCTCTGAGATGGGGCATAATGACACCTATGAGCATCCCTGCCTGTAAGAAAACCACTCCCGAGTTCCCGCCTGAATGCCTGTAACCCAGTTGTCCTCCTTATGTCCCTGGATCCCCTAAAGTTGCCACCCAGAGCTGGTGCTCAGGAGAAGTGGAACTGTGTAACTTTGTGTACCCATCCCTTTAAGAGGAACTGCTGGGTCTCTTCTCAGCCATTTGCTCACTTACAGTGCTGCATGCTTTTATTTCTGCATTTATGAATGGCCTGATTATATCTGTATCTTGTTCACCTGTACACTGTGAGCACAGTGGCTGTGGCCTGTGGCTGGTCAGTACACACTGGCTCACTCTGATATGGTGACGTGCTATGGTGTTTGAGTTCTTAGCATGGCACAGCCAATTCCTAGAGTCTGCTGTTTGGTTTCCTGGTAGAGTAGTGTGCAGTTTCAATGAATAAATGATGGGGTTCACCACTGGGGCTAAATTGTGAAGATGTGGCCCACTTCACCTGGTGCAGTTAGGATAGCACCCTGTTGCACAGGACCCATCAACTGATATTGATGGAGAGTCTTGCTTCCAGTTCTTCTTTTCAGCTGCATACCACAGGAGGTAGTATAACAAAAATGAAAGCCTCCTCTGATGGGCTTGTTAGATAGGCCATGGCCCATCAGAGAGCTTCTGAGCTTGATGATAACTAAGCAGAACCCCTCCCCCCCAAAACTGAAAAGTAAAGAGAACAAAGACTGGAAAACAAAACAAAGCTAAACTGTGGTACAAACACAGATGGGGTGAAGTCTAATTGGAGTCCTGGAAGGAAAAGAAAGAGAGGAAAGGAATAGATATGTTTGAAACAGTAATGACTGGGAATTTCCCCAAATTAATATTAGACACTAAACCACAAATCCAGAAAGCTCAGAGAACACCTACCATGATAAATATTTTTAAAAACCCACAAAAAAACCCAACAAAAACAACCTCGCATACACCTAGGCACATTATTTTCAAACTACAGAAAATCAAAGATAATAACAAATATCCCAAAAGAAGTCAGAGGCAAAAAGTCACCTTAACCATAGAGAAACAAAGATATAAATCATGCTAAATTCTCAGACACCATGCAAGCGTGAAGCCAGTGAAGTGAGATATTTAAGTGTTAAAGGAATGAGATGCTGAGAGCAGCAATGCTTGGCACCACGTCAGCCTGCTGGGCACTCTGAAGCCATCGGGCCTGAGCGAAGAGGACAGCATGGTAGCAACTCCGATTTCCACCTTGTTCATGGAGGAGGACTGGTAGGAATCACTCCATGCGATCACCACCTTCTCTTTCAGACGGGAAGCTGTATGATGCCTACGTCTTGTACCCCAAGCCTCCCCAGGACCGCCAGCGCTCTGCTGTGGACACGCTGGTTCTGAGAGCTCTGCCCGAGGTGCTGGAGAGGCAGTGTGGATATAAGCTATTTATATTTGGCAGGGATGAATTTCCTGGACAAGGTATGTGTTAACTGAGGTGTAAAAACAACAAATGAGTAAAAAATTAAAGGAAACTTTCCTTTCCTTTACAAGTAGTAGGGACTCTGCTTGCCTTCCCTACCAAACCACAGGTGGCCTTCTCCCTCCCAGCTCCCAACCCAACCCTCTTCTCCCATTCATCTCATTCCTTCAACAGGTCAACAGAGACCCTGACTGAAGCACCGTGACTCTCACACTGAGCAAGGATATGGCTAAACCACCCCTGTGCACGGGTGGTGGGTGGCACAGAGACTGAAAGCTGTCATTTCCCTGATGTCCTTGAGACTAACTGCTGAGTATTTTTTCAGTTTGAACATGTAAATAAGTTTATGTTTAAAGTGGATTTTCTAATCCTCAACCCCTGTCCATCCCCTACCTAAATAGAATAGGTATTTACTTCTCTCATTTAATAGCAGTATAGCTTTGAGCTGTGTAGCTGACATCTCTGAACCTCAGTTGACTCATCTGTCAAATGGGGTTAAGAATACTTCCCTGACTTGGTTGAGAGAATTAAATGAGTTTAAACCTAAGCAGTACTGATTAGACAATTGGTGGACAAAGATCCTTCCTTTGATGGCTATAAAGTCAGTGGCTGAAATTTGAAATAAGTCTCATTTTCTACTCACCAGGAAATCAAGATTACTACTTTATTGCACCCGGTTGTGGCTTATTCTGGGCTGCTTTAAAAGGTTTCTAACTACTTTGGATTTATAGGCTACTTATGCCCACAGAGCGACCATAGCTATATCTCTGCTCAGAACTCTACATGTTCAGAAATCACCCTCTATGCCGAAACTGGTTTGGCTCAGTGGTAGAGCATCGGTCTGCGGACTGAAAGGTCCCAGGTTTGATTCCGGTCAAGGACATGTACATTGGTTGCAGGCACATCCCCGGTAGGGGGTGTGCAAGAGGCAGCTGGTTGATGTTTCTCTCTCATTGACGTTTCTAGCTTTCTGTCTCTCTCCCTTCCTCTCTGTAAAAAATCAATAAAATATATATAAAAAAGAAAGAAAGAAAAGAAATCACCCTTTATGACCTGTATGAGGAAATGAAAATTCAGTCCAGTGCTTTTGGTAAACATGTGGAAGAGCTCTCATTTCATAAGCGGACCAATCTCCATTCCTTCACTCATTCAGCAGATATTTATTGAGAACTTGCTATGTGCCAGGTGTTCTAGGCTCTAGAAATGTGAAAACTAACGGAAACTACAAAGTCTGCTTTTGGAGAGGTTATCTGTTCATATGTTTTACAAATAAGGAGGATATAAAACTTGGTCTTTATTCTGAAAAAGACCAACTTATTTCAGGAACTCTCCCATCCCTGCCACCAGAACCAATCAGGGTATATAAACCCTGGTCATTTAAATAGCTATGACACATAAGAGGAAAACACAAATGAAGATTAAAATGACATTTGAGTTAACTGCTTATTCTTTTTAAAAAAATATATATTTTATTGATTTTTACAGAGAGGAAGGGAGAAGGATAGAGAGTTAGAAACATGGATGAGAGAGAAACATCGATCAGCTGCCTCCTGCACACCCCCTGCTGGGGATGTGCCCACAACCAAGGTACATGCCTCCAACCGGAATCGAACCTGGGACCCTTCAGTCCGCAGGATGACGCTCTATCCAGTGAGCCAAACCGGTTTCAGCTTAACTGCTTATTCTTTTAAAATATATTTATTTTTAAAAAATATGTTCATCACCTTATACCAGACCTTCAGCTAAGTCTGGCAAAACTAGGCATGATCAGATGAGCAGTTTGTGAGCCGAGGAAAGTGACATACCAACAACTACTATGGTTCGTGAGTGTAAAGGACCAGTGTTTCAGGGGCAGTGAGGCAGCTTTCAAAGAGGGAGATGCATGTCAAAAGACAACTCTCGTTAATCCATTGCTAAGTCCTGTCTGCTTTAATGCCATTCTTAGGGTCCGTTCCTAAGGCTCTCAGGAGCAGGAAGGTCCAGGCTGCTTTACTCATAAGGTCTTCTGCTTCTTTTCCTCTGTGTGCAGCTGTGGCCAATGTCATCGATGAAAACATTAAGCTGTGCAGGCGACTGATCATCATCTTAGCTCCTGAACCGCTGGGCTTTGACCTGCTAAAGAACATGTCAGAAGAACAGATTGCAATCTACAATGCTCTCATCCAGGACGGGATGAAGGCCATTCTGATTGAGGTGGAGAAAGTCCGGAGCTATGCCTCCATGCCAGTGTCGATCCAGTATCTCAGACAGAAGCACGGGTCCGTCCAGTGGAGCGGGGACGCCGCAGCGGGGGCACCGTGTGCAAAGGCCCGGTTCTGGAAAAAAGTGAGGTACCGCATGCCGCCCAAAAGGTTTCCACCGCCTTCCACGGCCAGCTCCGGAGCTCACGCCCTGTGACCTCACAGCTGGCAACAGCTGGCAAGCGGGAGGCCACCTGGGAGGTCTTTACCCCACCATGGAGAGTTGGCCCTCAGGAAGTGGCTCACAGCTGGACAAGGTGCACTGCATTCATCCACCAGAACTTGGAATCTGTCATTGTGGACTTGTGAGAGAGACTGTTTATTTTTGTGTTTTGTTTTTGTTTTAAAAATATGGTTTTATTGACTTCAGAGAGGAAGGGAGAAAGAAAGATAGAAACATCAATGATGAGAGAGAATCATTGACCGGCTGCCCCCTGCAAGTCCCACACTGGGGATCTAGCCTGCAACCTGGGCACATGCCCTGATGGGAAATCGATCCGTCATTTCCCGGTTCATACGCCGATGCTCAACCACTGAGTCACACCAGTCGGGTGAGAGGGACTGTGTTCGTTTGCTTGATTGGGGCAGAGATGCTTCTTTAGGGAAAGACATCCCATCCCTAGGAGGCTCTCATTAACATAAAGCTCTGAACCCCATGAACGCTTGTTGGACATGGAGTGGACTTGAGCCTCTGAGAAGCAGGGCACAGGGTGCTGTGGGCTTGTAATTCAGATATCCGGAAGCTGGCACATGGTGTGGCACCTGCGAGACCAGAGCTGGGAGCCTGGTGGTCGGGGAGGGCAGGAGGCAGGAAGTGGGGTGGAGGGCTGGCAAGGAGAATGTCAGTTTTTACACCTGACCAGTGTCCACAGGGCCCTGTCCTTAGGGGACATGTGCTATCTGTGAAATATACAGCCATGATCACAGTCTGAGCAGGTGATACCGGAAGCGACTTAGAGGTCACCCAGACCAGTGGGATAACAGTGGTGACACTGTCATTGTGGAGTAATGGGCGACACTGTCATTGCCCATTAATCACCCTCTGGTTAGTAAGTCACACTTCACTTGTTTTTCCAGCTGGCTCACGTCAGCCAGAACGCTGAGCAACATGTGAGAGGCATGGCTACCACTTGAGATGATGTCATTATGGTCCAAGTAAACAAGTGACCTTGTCACAGGGCAGGCCATGATGTAACAAGTCACAAAGACGCTCGATACTACAAATTAGCTGTCATTCTTATCACAGCTTTCAAAGACCCTGTCTTGAGGAGCCCATTCTATGGCAAATGACACTGAGCCTTAAAAAGTGGCCTGCTAGGATGCACAATTAATATTCAGAAACTGGTGGCATTTTTATATGCCGATAATGAACTACGAGAAAGAGAAATTAAGAGAACAATCTCATTTACAACTATAACAACAAAAATAAGATAACTAGGAATAAATTTAACCAAGGAGATTACTCAGAAAATTATAAGACACCGAAGAAAGAAATAGATGAAGATACACATAAGTGGAAGCATATACTGTGTTCATAGACAGGAAGAATTAACATCATTAAAATGTCCATACTACAGAAAGCAATCTACAGATTCAGTGCAATTCCTATCAAAATACCACTGGTGTATTTCATAGAACTAGAACAAATATTCCAAAAAAATTATGTGGAACAACAAAAGGCCCTGAATAGCCCAAGTAATCTTGAGAAAGAAGAACAAAGTTGAAGATACCTGATATCAAACTATACTACAAGGCTGTAGAAATCAAAACAGCATGGCATTGGCATAAAACCAGACACATAGACCAATGATACAGAATAGAGAGCCCAGAAATCAACCATGGCTTATTGTCAATATCTAACAAAGGAGACAAAGACATACAATGGGGGGAAGACAGTCTCTTCAATAAGTGGTATTGGGAAAATTGGACAAATCAAACAAAAAACAAACAAACAAAAACAACAACAACAAACTACACCACCTCCTTACACCACACACAAGAATAAATTCAAAATGGATTAAAGACTCAAACGTTATTCTCAAAACTATAAATCCCAGAAGAAAACACAGGCAGTGAAATCTTGGATATGTCTTATAGCAATATTTTTTTCTGTAACTCCTCGGGCAAGGGAAACAAAACAAACATAAACAGCTGGGACCACATCAAACTAAAAGGTTTTGCAAAGCAAAGGAAACTATCAACAAAATGGATACAACCCGCTGAACAGGAGAACATATTTACCAATGATGCATCTGATATGGGGTTAATACCCAAAATTTATAAAGTGCTTATACAACACAACACCAAAAAACAATTCAATTAAAAATGGGCAAAGAACATGAACAAATACTTCCCCAAAGAGGGCATGGAAAGATGTTCAATGTTACTAATGATCAGAAAAATTCAAATGAAACCACAATGTGATATCACCTCACACCTGTCAGAATGGCTATCATCAATAAATCAACAGACACCGAGAGCTGAGGATGGGGAGAAAAGGGAACCTCAGTTCACTGCTGGTGGGAAAACAGCATGGAGTTTCCTCAATAAATTAAAAATGGATCTGCTTTGTAACCATTCACCCCACTTCTGAGAATATCTCCAAAGAAATCTCAAAACACTGGTTTGAAATATATGCAACCCAATGTGCATTGCTTTTAACAGCCCAAGCGCCCCTCAGAAGGCGAGGGGATAAATGGCTGAGGTACATCTACACCATGGAATACCACAGGGCTGTAAAAAAGAAGGAGCTCTTACCGTGGGAGGGACCTGGAGGTTATCATGCTAAGTGAAATAAGCCAGTCAGAGAAAGACAGACACCATGTGGAATCTAATGAACAAATAAACTAACAAAATAGAAACAGACTCACAGATACAGAGAACAGACTGACAGCTGGTGTGGGCTGGTGAAATAGGGAGGGATTAAGTAAAAAACAAAATCTGGCTGCTCTGGCCAGAATGCACGTGTCCCAGCCGATTCACCTGTTGCAATCCGAGCACCCAGTCGCCTGGTATTAGTTGGTGGGCCCTTGGCAGGTGATCAGGCCACAACGGAGGAGCCCTGTTAGTGTCTTACCAAAGGGCCCAGGGAGCTCCCTTGCCAGTCCTGCACGGGGGGCACAGGAGACGTCGGCCACCTGGAAGAGCCCCTGACGGTGCCGGCACCTGGCCTCACCCCCAGAGCTGTGAGGAAGCAGGTTCACCTGTGGGCGAGCGCCCAGTTGGTATTTTGTTCTGAAGTCTAAGCAGGTGCTGATCCTCAGGGACAGGAGGGCTGAGTGGGAGAACAGTGGCCCGCGAGGGTGGACGGGCAGGGCAGGAGGTGTTTGTTAGGGGCAGAGGGTCAGGCAGGTCTGGCCTTGCCTCCCAGGCAGTGGGTGGTGTGGACTGTCTGGGGAGCTAAGGGATAAGAACACATTCTGGACTTTCAGGATTTATATTCCCAGTGACCTGGTGTTGCATATTTCCCCCATCATGCTCAGGTCCTAACTCGACATCTAGCTGCTCTTTATTTTATTCAGTGTTTGCTCCTTAAAGAATTTTAAATAGTGACAATATCTATAACACGACAGTTACCATCCCAGCGCTTGTAGGTACAGTTCAAGGTCATCAAGCACATCCCCATGAGCGTGGTCCCAGCGCTCCGCTTCCCAGAGGGGATCCTGAGGCCCAGGCCCTCCGGCTCCTGGTCACTCCGCCTTCTGCGCCATGAGCTGGCTGCACGGTGCCTCCTGGAGCCTGTACTGGGCCTGTGCCTCCCGGGGGGCTGGGCCTCCGGTGCCCGCACTGGGCCTGTGCCTCCCGGGGGGCTGTGCCTCCCGGTGCCCGCACTGGGCCTGTGCCTCCCGGGGGGCTGTGCCTCCGGTGCCCGCACTGGGCCTGTGCCTCCCGGGGGGCTGGGCCTCCGGTGCCCATCCTAGGCCTGTGCCTGGCTATTTCGGGAGCAGCGTGCCCCAGGCTCCCAGATCTAGGCGCTTCGGTTCCTTATTCCTAGCTGGTCCCCCCTCCTTCCTCTCTTCCCGCCTGGCATGGAACAGTGAGACCCAAGAGGTAAATCTCGGCACCTGCTTCCTCTCTGACGGCTGTCACAGTGCCTCCCAGACGACTGGCCGTTGGTAAAATGAGCAGTTTCTCATGGTGGGCAAAGTGCTGGCCACTGAGTGCTGCCTGGGCCGCGCCTAAGCCTCCCTGCTCCCGTGGGGCTGGGAGCACACCCTCAGAGGAGACAGGACGGGGAGCACACTGAAGGAGGAGGAAGGACGGGGAGCACACCGAGGAGGAGGAGGAGGAGGAGGAGGAGGAGGAAGGGCGGGGAGCACACCATGGAGGAGGAGGAGGAGGAGGAAGGAGGAGGAGGAAGGGCGGGGAGCACACCGCGGAGGAGGAGGAGGAGGAGGAGGAGGAGGAAGGATGGGGAGCACACGGAGGAGGAGGAGGAGGAGGAGGAGGAGGAAGGACGGGGAGCACACTATGGAGGAGGAGGAGGAGGAGGAAGGGCGGGGAGCACACTGAGGAGGAGGAGGAGGAAGGACGGGGAGCACACCGCGGAGGAGAAGGAGGAGGAGGAGGAGAAAGGACGGGGAGCACGCCGTGGAGGAGGAGGAAGGGGGGGAGCACACCGTGGAGGAGGAGGACAGGGAGCACACCGTGGAGGAGGGGTGGGGAGCACTCTGCGGAGGAGGCGTCCACGGCAGCCCCTGCACAGTGGGAATCGCTCTGGGAAGCGGGTTGGAGCCTTTTCCTGGGTCTCTCCTGCTGGGCTGGTGCAGGGGCGTGGGTGCAAGCAGTGCCCTTGGCTCAGCCCTGGAGGAGGGCAGCGGAGCGTTGGTGCCTGGCTCTGTCCGAGGGGCGTCCGCTGAGTGTTGGAGGCCGGCAGCCCAGTGTGCTCACTTTGGGGTGCCGGGCACAGCTGTGTGGCACTCGTGCACAAATGACACCTCTGGGCCACCTGGAAGTAAGGCCTGAAGCAACCAGGTGTTCTGGTGCCACCGAGCAACCAGGTGTCTGGATTCTAATAACCACACGGAGGCACCCTCCCTGGGCGGGGGGGGGGGGGGGGGGGGGGGGTGCAGGGTGCTAAGCAGCCGGGGATACAGTGACAGGGTGAGGGCTCGGACTGTCTGTTTCTCAGGGGGTGTCCTTGGGGTCCCTCTTCCT